CTAACAGAAACTTTTATTAATTCATGTTTCATATCAGTAAATAGTATAGTATCCTTTTTATAGAAAAAAAATTAATTTCTGTCATCTGTAAAATTTATTGTAGTTAAATTTAAAAATTTATGAAGATCGTTTATGTATATTATAAAAAAGACTGTTCCAAGTATGGATCCTTGAAGAACTGCACATTTAATATTCATAAATGCGTGAGATGTGGAGTCGTTACTGAAAACAAACTGTTTACGGTTTGTAAGGTAACTTTTGAATTAAAGCAGAGTTTTATCTCAAATACCATAAGACATACTTTTTTTTAATAGGGTTTGGTGATTCACGGTATCAAATGCTTTGGACAAGTCATTAAAAAACTCTAATGTAAACGAGAGTCTTTAAATGAATCTGCAATATTACGTTTAAGTTGAAGAACGGTATGTTGGTTAAATTATTTATTTATAGCCAAATTGATTTTTATGCAGTATTTTTTTTTTCAGTAAGATAAGAGTAAACTCGACTGAACATTATTTTTTCTATTATTTTTGAAAAAAGTGGAAAAACCGATATATGACGATATCTTACTTTATTTAAATGATAGCCGCTCTTGAAAAATGGAGTTATTTTTGCTTTTTTTAGTTTACCTTGAGAAGACCCTTGTGAGATTGATAATCTGAAGTTTTTATAAAGAATGATTTTTGTTATATCGTAGAAATCTATTACAATATTTGCGTTAATTTCATCGTATCTAGTTGCTTTATTTCGTTTTAATGACTTGAAAGAAACTTCAAATTTATCAAAAGTTTATAATATTATTTAGAGAAGTGTTTAAAAGAGTCTCATATTTAACAATAGCTTCTTCTTCAATATATAGAACATTATTGCATAATTTGTTCCGATTGCTGTAAAAAAGTTGTATAACTCGATTGTAAATTTGTTCGATCATTAAGTAATTTGTTTTGAACTTCATTTATATCTGGTCGTGAATTTGTATTTGTTTTATGTTTTCCAGTCACTTCTTTCATGATTTGTGTGAGCCTTTTTGAGACATGTTTTTATTTAATTAGCAAGTTTGAGCAGTAATTTATCTTTATATTTTCCGAAGCTTTTTAAATAGGTTTTTATAATTAAAATATTTTTGTGTAGTGTTTTTCTAATTTTGATTTTAGGTAATTAACATATAACTTCTGTTTAATTTTCGAAGATTTTATGAGACACTTTGTAACCCAAGGATTTGATATCTCTGTTGCATTTAAGAATATTTCACGTAGAGGAAAATTCAAATCCTAAACTTCATAAAAGTTTTTAAATGATAATCATTCAATATGTTAATATCATAACTAAGATTGATGTAGTCTCAGTTTATAAATGATAATTGGTCTCTAAAAGAATTCGTTCTAATAATATTGAAAAGCAGTTTTTTTATTGAAAATTTTGATTCTATTTTTTTACGTGTACGCCTAATGAAAAAAATGTTGGGAAACCAATCGGGAAGATCTGTTTTTATTAAACCCTTTTCAATTTTCAATCTTATTAGAAAAGTCGGTAGTAAATATCCTGTCAATTAATGATGATGAATATATGTATGTATGTATATATATATATATATATATATATATATATATATATATATATATATATATATACATATATATATATATATATATATATATATATATATATATATATATATATATATATATATATATATATATATATATAATATAACAAATTTTTTAAACTTCAAAATTTTGCATCACAGTTTTTTGAAAAAAATGAAAGTTGCATTAAAAAATATTGAAAGACTAATAACGACTAAACTCGAAGAACAAAAAAAATATATTCGTAAAGAAATTGACAAAGTTTATTCATTAAAGTTATGATCTTATGTTCTAAAACAGCTACTTATTCAAATTTTAAAAATTTTAAAAAGTTTCATCTTTCTTAAATTTACTGGTCTAAGGTTTTCTAAAGTTGAAAGTGGCTTATGGTTTCAGATTTTACGTGTCCTCAGTGTTAATAGTGCAGCGTTTCGCATTGAATTTCAATAAAATCTGACATTTAACTGTGTCACCAAAATTAATGCTGAACTCTTGAATTGATAATATTACAATTTTTGATTTGAATATTTTAATTATTTTATATGCTTTCGTGTTTGCTTAATAAAAGTCCTCCATTTTACTGTCATGTACGTAACAACTACAATTCACTCACAAAATGATAAACAGCTTGGTAGTTACCGTAAAAAAATGCTTCATTTCATTTTAAAGTATTTCCATATTATTAGGAATCTATATATGAGTGATAATTAGGGCAAGTTTCATCGCGTTGTCATTTTAAAATAAATTCGCTTCACAACGTATGTTTTTGAAAAAACGTAACGGTTGAATTTTTATTAAGGTAAATATTTATATCTTTAAAATTCATATGGTTAGATACATTTTCCCAGTTAGCACGGACGTAAAAAAGACGTCTTTTAAACGTCTCACACACGTTTTAGACGTCTTTTGAACGTTCAAAAGACGTCTTTATCTGGTCCGGTGCCCACTAGGTTGTGATTATTTATCAAAATAACCATTATTGCATTGAATTGACTAATTCCTTTTAAAAGTTTGACCAGAAACATAGTAAAAATGTCAAGTACGTAACAGTCATCTACGTAAAGTAATGACGTTACGGACGTCACAATAGCGTTTTGTATTGAGAAACATAATAAACAAATGACCGTTTATGTAAAAAAAACAGTTTATTAGTTGGATAATTAAGAATTTACGTAGTTACGATAATTAAGAAATTACGTAAAATGTTTTGTTTTAAACCATAATTATAGTTATTATTTTAAACCATAAATATTTTTTTATTTTGAACTATCATTTAATAGTTATATTTTGCTGCTAAGCTATCGATATTAGGAAATTGATATTATATTTTTTTCTATCAGAGATCTGATTTACAAATAAGAGAAAAAAGACAAAATCAAACCAGAAAAGGAAATTGAAATTCATAGCCATAATAAAAAATAATCCTGCGAAATTCAAAGATCATAAGAAGAACGAACGAGAGCGTCAAATGCAAAGAAGTAAAGCTACAAAGCCAAAGACTGAACGTGAGCAGCGACGTAAACGGAAACAATGGCAAGAAGCGCAGCAGCGCAGTAAAGCAAATGCAAAGACACGATTGTCATCGGTAAATGATTTATCTGTAGAATCTTTACCAGATACATCATTTCCTTTATTACCTAGTTTATTAACTCTAAATCACAATGAAACTAGGCAGAAAACGCATTAGAATGGAACTAAGTAAAACGTATTG